AGATTAAGTTGATTAGTCAAGCAATTATTTGAAGAAGCTGTTTTATAGTGTTTGCCCTAAACTCCTTCATGTAGAGGTTGTCTACACATAATAGGCAAGTCAGTCAAACATTGCAAGGAGGCAGCATGTACTGTTCCTGATGAATATTATCTTAGCTGGGCACTAACCCTATTAATGTGATGCCTCAATTTTTACTTTGGGTACTTGCCAAGTAGGATTCAGCCTCAGTGTCCTTTTTTCCTTGTCATTTGAGACCTACTAGAATGGTTTGTAAGTAGGGTTATCCCTTCCTATGGACACCAGTCCATTATAACCTGTGCTAAGATGCCATATCTTTCTGCTCCTCCCACCTGTACTCTACCAAAATGCAACAGACTGAGTTCAGATATTTTTTAAAAATTAGAAGCAAAGATTTCTTAGGGTGATATCTTTTTTGGACCAGCTATGTAGTTAGGATAAAGTTGGGTTTAACTAGCTTAGGTCAAAGTTAGTTCTAACTTCCCAAATACATAGTTGGTCCAATAAAAGATAACACCCTATGAAATCCTTGCTTCTAGCATAATTTCTAGATCATCATGGCTATTAAAAAATGAGGCTTACACCCCTCATAGTAGAAAAACATTGAGACCTCCAGAAAATTCAGTCATTGTCCTTGAAATCTGTCCTACATGTTCTGTATAATGTAGCAAGTATTTCCTTTATTTTTTGGCATATGTGAAATATCCAAAACAGTGACATTGTTATTCCTATGGAGTATTAGCAACATTAACATTCTCAGTTGTCTAAAGGGGGAAATAATCCTGCATGATTTCCTACTAAATTTCCACCAAATGTAATGCAATGCTTGTCATTTTTTTTCTAGATGGTGAAGACTGCCAGACCAGTAGCAGAGCCCAATATAGGATTCTGGTCTCAGCTGCAGAACTATGAGGAACATTTACAGAAGCAGCCTCATTCACATCATTATTCAGAGAAAAGGACTTCTGTCTAATACAACTGCAATTAAAAAGGTTATTCAAAATTATAATCACAGTTGTTTTTAAATGGCCTCCCTGATGTATTTTTGTGGTGTGCCTATCATTCTTATTCTGCAAAATAAGCAGCCATTTTTTTCAAAATTTATGGTTGCAAAAATTAATCTTCTGAACATGAATTGAACATAACAAAGTATTGTTTTCCTCCAAGTCTTTAAGTACCACACAAGGTAGGAATTTTCTTCATTAAATTCACAGGGGTGATAACTTTGAAGTCCAATAAAGATTATTTTGCTTCTTATTTTGTTTTTGCTTCTGCATATGGAATGGGTAGAATTGCTACATGAAGAAAGGTGCAGAGAAAAACAAGGAGAAGATATGAACAGGGAAGAGAGACAGAAAGAGAAACAATAAAAAAGGGGGGCGGAAAGGGCAGAAATCACAGAGCACGCTTTCCACGTGAATGATGCTTAATATGACCATAAAGTACTTAACGGTTACAACGTGCAGACTGTTTTGTGTCCTTGATCTTTGGTACAAGCCTTCCAGTGCCAACACTGAGAGATCTGCTGAGGCACAGTAATAGCGTTCTGAATTTGTATCTCAGCTACTGGAGGAAATTAAGAGTGGAATTTGGCTTTTTCATGGAATGAATTTGACACCACTTACCTACTTGATAATAGCCTGGTGCAGAACTGGAACCAAGAAGCTTTGCAGACAAGATTTAGAGTTCTGACAGCTCCATATGAGAAGTTTACTTGGCAACTGTTAATCCTAGACCTGGCTTTCATCAGTACCAAATTATCCATCACAATATAAAAGGTTTCCAAAGACATAAAATGGAGGATTATCAAAGGCACAAATGGCATTGAGGAATCTAACTCCCTTTAGAGCTACCTTTTGTGTCTTTGAAAGGTCCTCCACAAAATATGAGTACGTAGGGAGAATTGTTAGAGAACTAGCAGCAGGAAATAAAAAGTAAGGTGTGTCTACATGAGACTCTTAATGCACAGTTAATTCTACTATGCGTTAACGCGTCACAGCAAAAACCGTGTCAATGCGCAGTAGAATTAGTCTACTGTGCATTAAGCATCACAAAAAAATGCACTGTTGCTACTGAACTTTAGCACCAGCTAGTATGCATTTATGTGATACCTCTTATTAGAAGTACTAAACTTAATGCGCATTAGCAACAGCACGTTAATGCATGTATAGACATGTCCACTGGCAGTCTAAAGTGATCTTCATTCCTTTTAGCACCATTTGCTAAAACAAAGGCAGTCTAATAGCACCAAAACTGATTTTTTACTGAATAGTCACCAGGGAGAAGATCATATTATATACCATGAATTTTAATGAATGGGTCTTCTGAGAGCTCTCACATTAGGCCACCTAAAATTAGCTATTCTAGAGTCTGGAGCTAGATTAGAGGAAAAAAACTTACACCTCAGGCTACACTGAAATTCCTTTAGTAGGGTCACAAAAGCAGGAAGTACAGTTTTTTTTGTATAGCAGTTTTAATGTTGGTAATTTAAAGAAAAATAATGACAAAAGTGCTGAATCTGCAATGCGAAATTTCATTCCACATTGCTCAGCAAACCAATTTTGGAAAGGTTAGCTAATCTTTAACAACTACATGTTTATATAATATAAAACATGTTCCTGGCAGCAGAGTAATTTGAGATGAAAGTGCTAATGACCGAAAGCTATTGCTATAAAATTAGGATAGAACAAAGCCTTTGTGGAATAGCTTGACTTAGACAATGCTAATGAAATGGGGTTTTTTGGGGTTTTTCAGATTTCAAGATCAATTATAGTTTAAATTGTATTATTTTAAAAGCTGCAAAATGAGAAAGAAAAATCAATGGTTTGGCAATAAGCGATCAGAGATTGCATGGTTTCTCTACCCCTAATTATGTTTAGTATGCACTGAGCTCATCTACACATGAAATTAATTTGACACAAACTGTGGTGCAGTTTGCACTGGAGTTTATTGCTCCCAGGCACAGTGTTTGCACATGTACCCTGGACAGCAGCACGTTGAGCCAGGGCAGCATAGCCCCAGCTGTAAGGGGATCGGGGGGAATCAGCCTGCCAGCCTGGGGCTGCTCCTGCCCAGCTCAACCTGCTGCAGAGGGGCTGGCTGGGATGCAAGGGTGCTATTATGTGGGACTAGCCAGCAGGCAGCCCCTGAACTATAGCACCTTGGTGCCCCAGCCAGCCCTGGTCACTGCTTACGCATGCATTTCAGAGGACGAAATAACTCCACTATAGGATAATACTTGTATGAGACAGTACTGTCCTACAGCGGAGTTAGTTAATTTACCACATTATAATAGGGGCGCAGGTGTAGATGGTGATGCTTAACTGCGGAGTTAATTTGGCAACTCCACAGTAAATGTCTTGTGTAGATGCACCCACTGTTTGCCAGCCATTGGACAAGGATTGTATGTTCTTTCGGGGGTGAGGGGGTTGTTTTAAAGTTGTATCACAAATCTTGCATGTCAAACATTATAGACCAGATCCCATTCCAGCACTAAGGTGGCTAACCTGTGTACTTTTATTCAGTTTTGTGTTAAGACTGAATCAAAAAAGCAAAAAGGAGGACAAGGATTTCTTCCACCACCTTTCAAGAACTTGAGACAGTCGCACTTAAAAACCTAATAAACAGAATAAGATCTGGCTCAATGTAAATGTCAGCTAAACAGCTCACCTTACATGCAAATATACTCAATATTCCTTTAATGATATCCATAGTACCTTTCATTGAGAAATCCAAGTCAAACCAATCAGATACTCAGGCCCTTAGCACACATTATATTTATGGCCCAATTTACACATTAATCATGCCATAAATAGCAGTGGTACCACACTGGTTCACCCAGTTTAAGGCGCAGAACATCTTTGTGGCACCTTAAACTGAATGTGTGACATGTCTGCACACTCAAGCTGTCTGGAGCCAGTGCTGGCAGTCAGCTGATTTGCAGAATCATCCCCTGACAGCCACAGGTCTCCAACCAGCCCATAGCCTGATTGTTTGTACTGACTTAAGGCAGCCTTGGCTCTCCGGCTGATTGTCAGCACCCGCCCCCAGGCAGGTCTGGTTCTCCAAATGGCCTAGGACCTGCAGAGCTGAGGGGCTCCCCCTGCTGGGAGTCTTTGATCCTTGCATCCCCTACCTCCGCAGGGCTGATAGTGCAGGTGTTTTAAACTCCCTGGCAAGGCAGCTCCTTGGCTTTGTCCAGGAGGAGTCTTTGATTAGGGGCCTACTGGAATCATGATTTTGCAGATTTCACGGAAAACATGAAATCCAGCAGGCAACGGCTGCAAAATCCATGAAAAAAAAAAAGAAGAAGAAGAAAAAAAACTTAGTGAAAATAAAATTCTGGTTCCCCAGAGGGAGCCAGCAGTCCTCACGATGCTGCTGCCCAGCTGCGCAGCCTGCTGGGGGAGAGTGAGGGCTGCCAGCACACAGGGGAGCCCAAGATGGCTGCCACCCCTGCCCCTCACTGCTGACTGACTGAGAAGGCTGCCTGTCATATGCCCCTTCCCCCCCCAACTCCGTGGCAAGAGGTGGGGCCACATGCCAGACAGCCCTCTCAACCGATCAGTGGTGAGTGATGGGGACACCAGGGCCTTGTGGCCAATCAGAGGCATCACGGGGTGGGGGGGAGCATCACGACCAGCCAATGAAAATGGTGGCTGGATCCACCATCTGCCCACGACATCAGCCAGGCACCCCCTTGCATTAGGTAGACCCCACCTTTGACTACCGCTAGGAGCCCAGGCTTCTTTGTCAAGAGGATCAGTTGGGATCTGTCCCTAGTCCCCATAATCATGTGTCATGTGTGGCATGACAGGACATGTGATTATTAAGATTGGGGATTGGGTCTCATCATGTGATTGTCTGAATGTTTGCCAGAAGCATCGATGAGGGTGGGATTGCTTGTTTACTTGCAGTAATAGTACTCAAATATATACCAGTTTCAGTACTCAAGTGAAAGGCTGCAACATAAACCAGAAAACTGGATATAGTAAACTTTTTTATTTGATTTGACAAAATGCTAACTTTACAAAACTTTAAAAAGGGAAAAGAGTTCAGACATAATCTTTGGCGGTCATAACTGTCTCAGAGTCTTTGGTGTAAATGCGTTGTGGAAGGGTGGTTTGGCCCAACGAGTAGTCGTATTTGCCATTGCTATAAAGGAAGAAAAATTATTAAAAATAAATAAGCACTATACATATTCACATACTCTTTGACAAATTAAGTTAACTGACTTAAACAGTTATGCATATAAAATCTTTGTGCTAAGTTGCAATTTTTAACATAATTCAACAGGATGAGAATTTACAGTAAAATTATCTAAACTTTACACTGCTGGCCTCTGATCCATCATGCAGACCTTTTATATTGTGCACTAATGCCAGTGAAGGGCTCAAACAGATTTTCAACAATTTTTGTATCAGTACATTATGGCCTGGTGCAGACATTTGGAAACCAGTCTATACCCATAACCATACAGAAGTTAAGGGCATATAGACTGCTTTAAAAATGATGGATCCTGGTCTAAGATACATCTGGATCAATGTAGTATCAGACTTACTCAATCTAGGTTATACTAGTCTAGCTAATATCAATGCCAGGTCCGCTTGCAAATCAAGGTAGATCCTGTCCGCTGGTATTCTAGGGGATTTTGAGGGCCCACACTGGCCCCCCCCACCACAGTGTGTCACAGTTCAGCTGCTCCAGCTGAGCACCTAGTTAGTCCTGCCTCCAAGCTCTCTGTCTGTCAGCCACAGGCAGGATTGGTTGGGGGGTTTATGAGCTGTAGGGGGAGATGGTGCCAGAAGTGCACCCCACATTCCTGGCTGGGTTGGTGGGGCCTTCCCTGTCCTCCCCCTTTCCACCAAACCAGCACCAAGTTCCTGGCTGAAGCTGCTTCCTCCCATGCAGCTGCTGGACCTCTGATGCCTGGGGAAGGAGAGACCAGCCATGCCCTTGTGGCTGCAGTGCCTGGCAGAGGGCAATTCTAATGCCAAGATTGCATGGATCAGGGACCAAGTCCCTGTGCCAGGCTGAGCTGGCAGCCCCGCCCCCCCTGCCCCTGGAAAGTGCACCTGCCTCAGCTGAGTGATCCCAGCCAGCAGCAGCTGGTGCTGGGTGAGGGCTTACCTGGCTCCCCGGGCTGTGGTCCCAGGGCTCAGGACAGGAGAGGGACAGTCTGTGCCCCACCAACTCAGCTGGGAATGCACAGTGTGCCAGTGGCACCACCTTCCCCCCAGTAGCTTGTGACGCCTGCTCCTCTCCTGCCTCTGTCCTGCCGAGGGTGGATCCCCTAGCCCCCCCCCGGACAAAACCTATGCCACTGAGCAGGGGCAACCATGCCTCCCTGCTGGCTACCTGCGTCTGAGCATTGCCTGGTAGATGACAGGCTGGCAGCAGGGAGGCATGTGCCTGACAGCCAATAAGAGATGACCCCTACTCAGCTATGGTGGGGTGCTCTTGGCAATGTCCGGCAGGCTGGGAGGTGTGCCGGAGCATCCCCAACCTTCTGGCCTTGGCCAGTACAGGCATCTGCCTGTTTCCTCCTTACCAAAGGGCAGATGTGAGTTTCATTTGCTCCTGATCCCATTTATGCAGCTTAGATAAAACTGTGTAGACTGGAGTGATTCTGCCTCAGGCTTTTTGAATGTTTGTATTTAGTCTTTGAGTCAGATTCAAAGTCCACTGAAGTTTATGGAACATTATCATGAACTCCAATGACTTGGAATATTGTTCCTTATTACTAGTTTTCACACAACTTTTGTAAATGTTTAATTATAGTATCTCCTAGCATGCTGCTTTCTTCTGTAACGATCTGCTTTTGAAGTTTTAAACAGACTTGGTTTAGATGTACTTGAACCTAGTATTGTTTGACTATTTTAAATGTACATAGACCCCTGCTGTTTATGATAACACCATTGTGTTTCTCAGATAAATGTGTCTGCTGCATATTTGAGTCATTTAAAATAAAAATGGGTTTTCCCACATAAAGGACAAACAAGTAGGCCAGAAATCTTATTTTTTCTGCCTGACTGCTAAATAAAGAGTTCTGTAAGAACTGCAGAGGAAACAAGAACTGCCAAAGAATTTCATGAGCTCTGTTAGTTGCTTTTAGAAGAAAAAGGATTGAACTTTCTGCAAGACAAATCCTCCTAATTGTAATACTAACAAACTTTTGGAAAAACAGAGCTCTATTGCTATAGTAAACACTGTATGTTAGACTGATTTTATAGTTTTGCCAGTACAACAGAAAATCAGCTCTTTGACTGCATAGTTCCATTATGTAGATATTAGAAGCCTCAGCACTGGCTAGGATTATTAAAGACTATAATTGATTACTACAGAAATTGTAACAAGACAGTGTTAGAGATCAGGTCAATGTGACATACATATAAATGCAACCCTTCCTAAGCTTATGGCAAGACACTGCTGAATTAGCAGTCCTACTCTCTAATTTTGACTTTACAGAGTTGTGAAATTTTACAATGGAAAAGGCAGTAATTTTCTGTGTACAAATTTGTAATAATATTTTAAGTGTATAATTTACTTTGAGCAGTCAAATGAAAAAAAAATCAAAGTTACCTGTATTTTCCTTTTTTTCCGCTTTCGCATGAACATGTCAGGAAGATCCCACCAAGCATAAAAAGAACAGAACCAGCCCAGCCTAAATACAGTGCATCTCCTAGTTCATACCTGAAAAATTTTATGGAAGCATCATACAACATGATTACATATACGTTTAATAATAAGCAAGAATGCAATTATTTTACAATGAGCTCTAAGGTGCATTAATTGTACAAAAATAGTTCCAGTCTGTGTGGAAGATAGGATTATAAAGAATTATAAATGTAACTTCAATACCCAATTACATATTTCAATAATAGATAACATCAGTGTCTTCATATCCATTCAGCATGCTCTTTTAAGCACATGTTCAAGTGTTTTGCTGAATAAAGCATTTAAAGAACAGACAGCGATAACCAGCATAGTGATAAATATTTGATAACATACTGAACAGTTAGTCATAAAGGAAAGAGATTTACAGCTTCTGAAAATAGACCACATACAAGACAACAGCTTGAAGGTAAAAGGGGAAGGGAGGGATACTGTACTTACTCAATTACCCTGATATTATCTCTGGATATCTGTGTATTACCTGTGCAGTCAGTACTTACTAGTTACCTTTTTCTCCTTTGTAGAACTGACTAGCCAGATTCCCCACTGTGTATTATTGGTAAGAACAAAACTACGTATAAAAATGTCTGAGTGTGAAAGGCCTGACGAACTCCAGACTTTGTCTGATTTTGTCTACCCATGAAGACAATGTTTAAATGGAGGGTGAAGTGATATCAGTTACAGGCAAATCTCAGACAACAGTGACAGAAGCATACTGAACACACAGGCTAGGGACAGAAGTTACACATAAACTGGTTTAACTGATCAGAAACTGGTTTAAACCTGTAACGGAACAAAAGTTCAATGCACGTAAACCAGTTTCAAAATGGCTGAAACCGGCTTGAGATAAACCTGGTGTCAAGAGGCTGGAACAATGTTGGGGTGGCAGGGGACTGGGGGTTACCAATGGGAGATGTAACTGTCTATACATAAGTGCTAGAAGTACGTGGAATAAGCAGGAGGAACTGGCACTCCTGCTAGCAAATAGGGAATATGATCTCGTCGGAATAGCGAAGACCTGGTGAGATGCCATGCATGATTGGGTTGTATGCATAGAGGGCTACAGGCTGCACAGAAGGGATCAGGTAGGAAAGAAGGGAGGAGGTGTAGCTCTCTATGTAGAGGCTTTGTGCTATGTGAAGCAGATTATGTACATGCCTGGGATCCATGTAAGTGGAGTGGGGGTGTGTAGATGAAACGGGCCCTAAATTGAAGTGGTGGGTTTTAAAAAACACTGCTTAAATTTAGAGCTGATTAAACCCCCGTGTTGTGCACACACCCTGCTGACTTACCTGCTTCTCCAGCAGGGACGGGAGGGCAAGCTGCTAGCAGGCAAAGTGGTCCCTGGGCTACAGTGCGGCGGGAGCTGGTGCTACCTTCCTTGGCAGCTGTGGGCCTACTACCAGGCAGCACCTACCCTCAGGCACCTGGCTCAGGCAGTCCCGGGGGGCACTGCAACCATGGAGGGAAGCACCGGGCTCCCAAACGGCTGAGGCAGGCAGGTAGGCTCCACACTGGGGCAGGGAGATCAGGCTCACTGCTTTTCTTGCGCGCAGCTGCTTTCCCAGGCTGCTGTCAGGCTGCCTGCAGGGTTTCCTGCAGAGCCCGAACAGTTTTTAAAAACCCTGCCACTTCAATTTAGGGCCCTTGTTCCGTCTACACACACCCCTACTCTACTTATATGGATTCCAGGTACATATGTAATCTGCTTAACAGCATAACACAAAGCCAGTCCTACTTTTTTGCTTGTCTTGCATTGTAACAAATAACTGTTCTCAAGTTATAGTTCCATAGTTGTTAGGGGCTGAAAGGGACCTTACAGATCATTGGGACCAGCCCCCTTGCACTTGGGCAGGAAAGACTGCTGGGATCAGATGACCCCAGCAAGACTTGTTAGTTAAGTGAATGAACTAAGTCTAAGTGCATCTTTTAGTTCCATTGCCTACCCTGTTACACAATTGTGCTTTAGTTAACTACATTGAAACAGTAAAGGAAAAATAACTGTCAAAGGGCTGTTATGAGAAGCTTTGAAAATGATGGGAGCTAGTCAGCTATCTTCCCTCACTTTCAGGGCTTTTAATAGCAGCCCTGAACCTGACTATTAGAAGCCTTGAACATGGTGTAAGCTAGTCATTTGAGGGGCTGCTAATACAACTAAGATGAGAGCACAGTGTACTTAATTAACATTGTTTACATTAAGTTCAGATAATGCAGGTGTTTTTTTCAGTCCCAAGACAAAAGAGAGAGATGTACAGATGGAGGTGTATAAAGAAGCAGTGAGACAATACGGACCAGCATTAGAGAGGGTGGTCTCTGTGCAACTATTATCTAGCCATTGTCAAACATTTTGTAGACATCATGGCAAAGGACAGTAGTAAGGAAAAACCTAAAGGAGAATAAAGGTTCCTTGTGCAGTTCTTTATAGAAAGGACCTGTAAGCCTGAAAGGGAATCAGCTTGCAGGGTGCTTGGTTACTTTTTCATGCTGAAGTCTAACAAATTTGATTTGCCAATTTGATAAATATTGTAGCCAATACTGAAATGAAATTCAATTGGGGTAACCCTTTTTAGTGATTCCAAGGAGTGTTTAGCTTAACATTATGTTTTTCTCAGGTCCTTTTTTAGCTTGCACAGAAGTTTTCAAAATGGGACACTTAGTTACGCTTAACTAATAAATATGTTTGTTAATTCACTCAGAACCGCATAGGTATATAGTTAATAATTTTAAAGATAAAGTTTAGAGACATCAGTTATTCAAGGCATTTATGGAACTTGTAACTGATTAACATAAAACAGTGTTGAAGCCCAGAAGCTATGGGCAAGTCAACAAGATTTTTTATTTCATTTACTTATCAGTTTTCTTTTGTATCTAATACTTTTATCACTCTTTCAGTAATTCTCTCCAGGAAGATGAATGCACTTCTCTTACACATGCTAATGAACATTATCCCTGAAATGTCTTCTGTTTAGTTAAATAGGAACTGGTATAAAATATGAAAAACTGCTTACAGTGCCTTTAATTAATAAGTCAAATGAGTGTAAAATTTCTAATTTGGAGTGAAAAATATTTTTATTGCACCTCCTGGGAGGAATCAAAATATTTGACTGCATATATCTTTCATCTTTCTGTAGGACATCTAGTAAGCATGTTTAGCTTATCTGATAGTTTTCTATTTCCCTGTGTATTTTAATTAACTCCAGGTCTTAACGGTCTACATGTGTGCATTAAGGATGGCTTATTTGCTGACATTTTTGTTTGTGTGTTGAGGGGCAAGGGTAAAGTGAAGTTACCTATATAGACAGAAGTACTGAAATAGTTTAGAATCACCCATTGGAACTATTGTTGCCAACTTAAAAATATGAAGCAGTGTGCTACAACTTACTTGGTTCCACCATACAGTGGATCAAAAAACTCAGCAGTAACCATTGCAGCATACCAAGAAACAGCAATCATGGAACAGAGACCTACAAGGAAAAAAAATATGATGCGTATACTTGAAGTGTTTACTTAATACAGTAGTTCAGCAGCTTTAAATTATGAAAATAAATACATATTTCCTTAGTCTAGTTCTGAAAGTGCTATTGAATATCTATACAAATCTTACTTTAAGCCTCAATATATAATGCTAGAATCTTACCTGCTAAAATGAACATGGATCCACCTATTACAGCCATCTTTGCTTTTGTGCTTCCATTGCTTGTCCCAACTTGTGTGCATTTTAAACCAAACAAAGATAGCACAGTAGATGTGAGACCCAAAACGATGGACGTGAACATCAAAGCACGGCATGCCTGAATATAAGCTGTTTTGGAAAGAGAGACAAAAAAAATTTTTTTTGCCAAGAAATTACATTAAGTCCAATTGTGAAAACATACTGATAAAATAAGGTGACATGATTAGGAGTAGTGAACTTTTAAAAGTTTGGCTGTTTGGTCTAGAGAAGCATCAAAAAGTAGAATATTTGTTGAACGTAGAAGTTAATTTGGTGGCAAATGTTAATGCTGAACTACACTTACTAGTAACAAGCGGGTTTATAGTTTCAGAAAACTGAAAGAGGCGCGTCAGTAAAGCCTGACAGATTACAGAAAGCCCTTCATGGATCGCTTAAAATCCTGTGGAATAAAGAGGCTTATATACATATGGCTATTTGGAAGAGGGGTAATAGACCCTCTTCCTACTAGCAATTTGGACTTTTCAAACTTTGGAGCTTTCCTTACATCTGCGTAACAGTATACACTGTCCATCCCTGCCTCCAGATCTGTGCAACCTTTTCCAACTTCCTAGCCAAGTAATTGGCTAAAAAAGGACTTGGTGTACAAAGAAAACATTACAACTTTATCTGTGTTTTTCAAAGTAATTTATAACTTCGGGGGTGCTTGCCACTTGAGGGCTTTCACAGGCTCTGAGGGGAGCCTGCTTTGGGGAAGCAGCAGGGGGAACCTCCCCCAGGAACTATTCTGAGGGGGGGAAGATGTGTGGCAGAGCACCTCTGGTGTCTGCCACTGTAAGAGACTGAAGAGGCAACCAGCAGGTGCAGCTCAGCTCTGACAAGCAGCCATTTTAAGATGCAAGCCAGCAGAGCTGGAGGCAGGACTCGGCTGCCCGGCACTGAGAAAGCAGTATCTCCTGGTGGAGCTGCTGCTCTGGTAACACAAGGAGGTATGGGCAAGAGCTGATGGGGATGATTAGGAAGCTTTTGGTCCTAGGCATGACCTAAAACTGCACCCTGCTGGGGATGGGTGGCATGGTGGGGCTCCCAGTGGTGCAAGAGCCCCCAGGAAATACCACCTCGGTGAAAGGTGGGTTGGGGTGCCTAAACCCCAGCCTCCACCTTCAGGTGGGTCAATTAACATCAGAGGTAGTTGGGGGCCAGGCACAGCTGCAGCCACATGAACCTGTGGGGTGTGTGTGTGACCCCAGGCCCCAGCATAAGGGGGAAGAATGGGCCTCAGTGGAAGCAGAGGTGTAGAGCAGGGTGCAGTGGGGCACGTGACAGCCTGCACCAGAGTGGCACTTGGGAGGCCTGGAGAGCCTAGCAAGGGGCATGGCGCTTAGGGAAGAGGCAAGGACCCCAGAGGCTAGGAGACCTGACTGTGGGGAGGGGCAGGTGGGGCAGGGAAGGAGCCCAGTGAAGGACTCAAAGCCCAAGGAGAGAGGCTGGAGTTAGGGGCCAGGATATAGTTACATGTGAATACTGAAAGGGGTGAGTAGTGAGGCCCTGTGAACAGGGGACCTGAGGTGAGGCCCTGTAAGGAAATGGCATGAACTGGTCCTGGTGAGCAGGGAGCTCAAGTGTAGGCCCTGCTAACATGAGGGCTGGGTTGGGTCCAGGTAAGCCTTCGGGTGCCTGAGGCCACAGGCCAATTGGGTGGAGTGGCTGAGGAAGTGCCGAGGGTAAACAACAGGGTGAGTCAGGAGCCCTTAATTCAGAACAGCTGGGTGAGTGACCCCGTGAGGGACTAGAGGCAGAGTCACCCCAGTGTTTTGCAAACCGCCCAGCACTTGCTCAGATGAGGTTCATGGGAGAGGTTGCATGCTTGCTGGCCGGGGAGTGCAGGGAAACAAGCCCCAGGGCCCTTCAGGTGAGGGCAGGGTAAGTGTGGCCCCGGGGAAAGATGGGGTGGTATGAGAGTGGCCCTGCAAAGGGATACTATGAGAGAGAGCGTGTGAGAGGCAGTGGAGTTGGAGAGGCCTTGGTGAGAGGGAGGTGGTATGAGTGTGGCCCATAATAGGGAAGAAAGCGAGAGGCCTAACACTGGGATGAGTTGAGCCTGGCCTCAGACTGAAGCAGAGCTCAGCTGTTGGGAATATCTGCAAGGCTTAAGATGCAGTACAGGGGTGGTTGGAGCTGCATACATAAGCCCCAGGAGAACAGGGCATCCGAAGGGCAACCTCCCACCTTATTAAGAACCAATTAAGAGACAACAAAGCATGGCAGGAAAGAAAGGCGGCCAGCGTGCCCAGAGGCAGGTGAGGAGATTAGCACTGTGGCTTGTCAGGGAGTTTCCACTTTGCCATAGTGTTATTAAACTTCTGACCCTTATTCTAAGATGCTAATTATATTTTAACTTCTTTCTTAACACTAGCTTGGGGATAGTTTTGAAAAGTATAGCAACAACATGCACAGAAACACTATTTATCAAAGAACTTCACCAAGTTAAGTATTCCTGTTTTGCTGGTGGGGGGAAATGCAGCACAGGGACTAGTCAGACCATGTTCCACCTACTGGATGTCAAAATAGATTCAAATGCCTAAGAGCAGTTCTACTCCACCTTGTTTAAGTCCCTGAAAATCTATTAATGCATCCACTTTTGTAACACACCATCATCTTACTCCTACGACTAAGCCACAAAGAAGTAGGAGGACCCATCCACTCTTTGTAGTAAGAATTTTTCAGGGACTTGAGCACGATCAAATACATCACACTTAAGAACCTAGAATACACTTATGTACCTTGTGGGTAGGTCTACATAAGCCATTTACTGTGTAATAGACTGATTAGTTGTGCATTAAGCATCTTAGCTTCTACATTTGTCCCTGCCAGGCTGGAGTAAACTAATTTACTCCACAGCAGGATAGTACTTGTATTTACAAGTACTATCCTGCTGCAGAGTGAAAAATTCCAGAGCAGCGCATGTGCAGATGCTGCCCCAGCCAGCCCCTCCGCAGCGCACTGAGCTCAGAGTAGCAACCCCAGGCTGACCTTACGGGTCCCTGCCAGCTGGAGCTGCTCTGGCCTGGCTCAACATGCTGAGATCCAAGGCGCACATTCAAACAACAAACTCTGGGGTTTATTGCTCCAGAGTTTATTGTTCCTGGGCACCCATTCAAGCGGAGTGCCTGGGAGCAATAAACTCAGGAGATTACTGCTCCCCATTAACTACATGTGTATATGCGCCCTGTAGGTAGAACAGAATCTAGCCTTAAGTGTTAAGCTCACTGATTCCCAGTGCCCTGCTATAAAACAATACAGCATGCTGATGCTAGATGAAAATAAATTACTAGTAGTTGGGTTTAAAACCAGTATATATACATGATGCGCTTCACATTTAAAAGAAAACATTCCAGAAGCATTTGTATAGTAAACAATTATTAGCTATTAACATTTGATTTTTTTTTCCTATCAGTTTTATCTAGTAAGTACAACAAAACAAAAATCATTTTTAATGATTTGGAAGAATCACAAAATGAAGACTGAGGCTCTTGCATCATTTATGTATCAAATATATTGTCATGCTTTAGCATTACACAGGCAATTTAAGTCCTGACTTTAATGTCTGGAGATGATTAGAATGTAAAGAATTACTGAGTGGGAAGAGCTGAACCGCATTTTATTTTACCAGTAATTTCTGTTTTGGTCAAGTGCTTGCAGATAGAAAATCTCAAATGAATGTGAATTCGACTGGACAAAGTTAATTATAGGGCAGTGGTGCTCAACTTCTGTCCCATCCAGATCCAGCCTGTGAGATCATGTCACCAGGCCTGTGGAATGGTGGTAGTGTTAATTGCTGTTCTGTTGCTGCCAGATTTCCAGACTTGTGGAAATTTCCAAACCAGATGATGTGGCTCATCATCGTAGATCATGCTGCTGTGTAGCCAGGGCCAGCATGTGGAGTTGGGCTGGCACAGGGGGTTGGGCTGCACGTAAGATCGGATTGGAACAGTACACCAACCCAATGGCCCAACCCCATGCACTGACCCAACCCCATGGCTCCAATCCCATGCTGCATCAGGCCTCAAATTAACCCATGCCACTCATTTGACCCAGTGGTCTAGAAGGTTGAGCACTACTGTATAGAACGTGGCCAAAGAAAGTGAGCTGACTAGTTCCACCTTCTACAGTTTCATAACCCATAGGTAGGTCCTGGGACCCTCCCTTAAATCCTAAAAGGAAGTTTCTGCATCCTTAGACCCTCATGATCAGATTGCTTTAGTTCCACAAATTGTTGGATATTTCCCTTTATTTTATCCAGAAAATTATCTTCTCCTGGGCCCATCATCTCACCTTTCATATTTTTCATCAATCTGTTCTTCAATTTGCTTTTCCATTTCCAGGACACTGTTCATGCTTTACCCACTTCAGTGGGATACAAATCGCCTATTATGTACCACGTAGGTATATTCCTTAAAATGGAACATTTTTTAACCTCTTATCTAAAACACAGATCTCTCTCTGAGCATCTTAAGAATAAAAACTCAAGTTTAAAAGCCCATTACAAACAAAGACGGGCAGCTGGTTAACTGTTTAGTAGCACATGCTTTATTTCCCAGCTGTAGCACAACAGATAGGCAGATTCATGTTTTTTGGCTCCTATGAACTGCAATCCAATTTAGCAGCACATAAAAACAGATCTTCAATACAAACTCCTTATTGGGGTTTTGGGAAACCTGAAATTTTTGGCTAACAAATTATATTGTGCAAATACAGATCCTGAACCATAGATCCATGAGGTTTTTTTGTCCTTAACTAGTTCATCTGCTGTTCTGTGAATTGCCCATCTATAGTTGCTTCACTGAAATACCAGAAATCTTGGCTACCATAAGCTTTAGGCATCTGCCTGGGAGATTTTACATCCACCAGTGTTCCAAATTTAGGATCCCCAAATCCAGTAGAACACTCTCACTCTAAAATCTAATGTTATAAAACTATTCAGAGATGCTCAAGGCATCTTATATAGAAAATAAAAATATAAAAGGAAAAAGTTATAGAGGAAGCCAAAAGTCTACTTGGAGCCAAATCGCATATCCTTCTGAATGTACAAAGAGATAAGGCATTCTACAAACTTAAGGCTCCCAATGCAAAGAATTTCACAATAAACTTCCTGTTCCTGCTTCAGTTCAGCCCCTACTAGCCCAGCACAAAAGATGCCTTCCTTATCCATCTCTTAAAGACCTTGTCACACAGGACACTTAGTACAAATTAAGTCTGTGCGATATGAAAGTTAAAACCATTCTGAACAGCCACACACTAATGTTTATTATGATCTCTAAAGTTCAAAGCTCCCTGGATTGTTGGTCCCAGCACCAACATGCACTGGAGTCTTGAATCAGCCCTGGTGCAGTTAGACCATCAGGTGACTGTCAGTCCCAACCCTGAGACTCTCCAGAGCTGTGGGCATCCAGCTTTCAACTTGATCCTGGAGGAACCTTAAGAATGAAAGATCCATGATCCTTCCTCCTGAGATGTTTGGATTTCCTTATCCCACCTGGAGGTTTGGTACAGCAGAGAGGTCCCTAGCTGATGTCACAGCTGGGTGCGGACTGCAAATTGCTTGTATTATTTCCACGAAGCAGTCCAATGATAGTCAAATATGTGTTACTTAATATAATCTAGACACGTTTCTTACATGAAGTCTTAACTTGGCTAGAACATGATCACTCTTAGCACATGTTCTACTGCTTGAATGCATGGTCACCAATGGCTTAAGTAAATTTAACACAAGCTAAGTGTAATGTGTAATATGGCCCTTACATTCTGCCTCTAATCTTGTTCACTGTCATGGTTTCAATCACATTTCTATATTGTGATTTTCAAATAATTTCTTCATCCAGTCTGTACTATTGGGACAGCTGTACTATTCAAGCTTCTACATCCAAACTGTACTACTCACTTATCTATCTAACCTCATGTTCCCAGATGTCAAAGGCATTTCCTGGATGGCCTGTTACTCTCTCAATCTACCAAACTGAATTGTTATTTGTTCTTTACTTCTTTTCTCTGTCTCCCTGTTCTATCACTACTCTTCCTGTTTCCTAGCAGGCACTCCCAGCTTGAAAATCCCAAATGTGAGTTTTCTCTTTCCATAAATAGTGTCTCCAACTTCTGATGCTTATTTCTTATTTCATGTGGAAACTGCTTTTTCTTTACTATCTTCACAATAAAACCTCTTTCCTTTCCCTGACTTCTGCAAAATCCTGTTCAGCCTCCCAGCTTCTCAACTGTACATCCATGTTACTCTGAGTGTGTCAACCTCTGAATATATTTCATTGACTTCTTTTTTACTGCATGAAATCTAAGCTTAAAGTTCTCACCTTCAAAGCCCTAGCTACAAATTCCAGATACGTCTACATTCATTTCTGCCCCACAGCCTACAGATCCTACTTCCTATTGCTATAACCAGTTCTCCATATCATCTTGATCTTCATGTATCTTAATGCATCTTCACTTTTTCTTTTGCATCTTCATTATGAAGTTCTTATGTGCTTCCTAAAAAGTCCTTTAAAACCGGTTTCTGTTCAGTTATCACTTATACTCCCTTTGTCTTGCCTAACTGGCTATATTTACACCAGAGAATTCTAAAAGATCCCCAGTACTAATATGACTGAATAAATTTAGAGCTGTATCTATATTATTGGTAATAAGATTCTACATAGGGCCAACAGCTCTATGTTATGAGGCCCAGTCCATTAATGGATGTATATGATAATATAATCCATGCTCATATAAGCAGTCTGTGGATAGAAAACAGATGGATATTACCCTGTTATTGTAGGATGTAAAAATATTATACAAAACACATTTCATGGTCCTCTCAGTCTAAGGCAATGCAAAGAAAATCATGAGCACCATTTTTTAAAATCCCTTAAGAACAATCAATGAATATTTTTAAAAGAACTTCTTATGTAGTTAAGATGTTACATTTTACCTGTAAAATAACTCATGTTTATACATTTTTATTTTTCCCCCCACCTCTCCTGGATAAAATGTATGGTAGTTTTAGGTTTCTCAGACTTGGGGACCTACCAAATACACAATTTCTGTGAAATCATGTAATTGGCTGTGTCCCATGAAATAGCTTTTTGCCAACTCCTTGCTATTTTTTTTTTTTTTTTTTTTAACATAGCCGGTTCCCCAAGCTTTTTCATGGGGAATTGGCTGTCTCCTAGAAGAGGGAGGGGGAGAGAGGAGAAAGCAGAGAAAAAAAAAGGCAGACTACCCATCTCCTGAAGCTGGGGGGTGGGAGAAAAAAAGAGAGAGAGAACAAAGCAGGAAAACTTCCCATCTCTCTGTCTCCAAAAAGGGAGGGAGGGAAGCAGGGAAAAGCCCACCAAAAGTCCCCCTCTCTTGATTTGTGTGTGTGTGTGGGGGGGGGGGGCAGCATGACAGCTGGAGCAGAGCAAATCAGAAGCTGAGCCCTTGACATCAAGCCCTGTGACATCAGCTAGGGATCCCTCTGCTGTACCAAACCTCCTGGTCGAGTAAGGAAAATTTAACATGTCAATTAAGGGTCAGCCTGGGAGGGGTGGAACTTTCAGCATCCCTCAGCCAGTCAGAGGCATGAGGGGAGCTGCTTTGCTCCACCTTCAAAATGATGGCCCCGACAACGATACGGCCATGAAATTGTGTTACAGCTGTGTAATCAGCTGCCAGGGCCTGTGAATTTGGTAGGCCCGTAATTACACTCATACCAATTCTTCCAGAGAATATGAATTCAAAATGGAATAGCTAGTCTAAAATAACTATGTCAAGAAACTTCTTGCAAAGTGGCTTAAAGTAATTTTTTTTTAAAAGCACACGTTATGGAATAAAAATGCTCACACAGAGTTAACTAGGAATAGTGATGACAAACCAGTTATGCTTACAATTCCTAAGAACAGAATAATAGAATCACAGAATCATAAAAAATTAGGGTTGGATGGGACTTCAGGAGGTCATTTACTCTAACCCCCTACTCAAAGCAGGACCATTCCCAATTAGATCATCCCAACCAGGGCACTGTTGAGCCAGGTTTTAAAAACCTTCAAGGATGGAGATTCCACTACCTCTCTGGGTAACCTGTTCCAGGGCTTCACCATCCTCCTGGTGAGAGAGTTTTTTTTCCTAATATCCAACCTAAGCCTCCCCTGCTGCAATGTGAGATGATTGCTCCTTGTTGTGTCAATACTTTATGCCTACAGTTTACTGTACAATTTAATGAATATTGTCATTACATGATTAATACTTTAGAACAATCCATAGAAAGATAAGCCATGTCTGCGTATTTAGCTTGCGCAGCAGGTATACCTATGATTTTCAAAACAAATACAATCAGAAAAATTCCTTATTTCTAAGATTGAAATATTGTAAATAGCATTTAATAGCTTATTTTAATTTCTTACATTCAAAACAGTTTTCTCAATCTAACCATGCATTTGGCCAAAAATACTATTTTATATCTAACCATATTAAAATGCTCCAGATGCAGGGTACTGGCAGAGGTGTATCTAGGCACTTCAGATGGGGCAGTGTCAGTGGCTGTGCTGCCAGTGGTGGTGGCCAAACCAGCAGCACAGCAGCTTCTATTTTTGTGCCCTGCTTCTCCCAACTAAGTGCCTGGGACTGGTGTCCCAGCCGCTCCCTCTTCACTATGCCATTGGGTACTGGATATCAAACATTAAAAGAAAATGCCTGTGAAATGGGCTTCTGAAAAAACAGAATAATTTACACCATCAATTCAAGCCAGAAATGTTACAATTTTCAGAAATCGTCCCACAGGATGTCAGAAAATGGAGTACATTATGTCGAAAATGTCTATTAAAAATCATTGCCCGATGAAGTGAGTTCACTGACATTATTTTATAGCATTTCCTAATGAGTTATATTTGACACATTCTACTGTTTTATAGACTACTTGATTGTTATAGTCAGAGAGGTCCTTAATGACCAAGAAGTCAATTTAATGTAGCATTACTTGTAGACAAGATACAAGATTAGACTTTCTAAATTGAAATTACTTCTTTCCAACAAGTTCCTCCATTATATAAAAAGAATGCACAAAAATGGACACATACCAGGCAATGCCAACATAGAATCAAACTCTCTGCAGTTGGTGACTCCAGTGCTATCTTCTGCACAGCTTTTCCACAGGTTTTCATACAAGGTAGAGGTTGTAATAACACTCCCATATATGGTGGAGGTTTTCCAGTAATTATGTGACAAAGTTGATCCCACCATCAGGCACCCGAACAAACTCAACACAAAGCCAGTAATTTCCAAAGCAACAGACATGTTTGTGAATATTAACCTGATACAGGTGTGTTTCAGTATTAAAGTGATGTGTATGAAAAATCCACCCTTTAGAAGGGTACTTTCTATTTTATCTCTGGTTTCACTCCAAAATGAATCTACCTTTGCTCTTTGCTCAACCCACAGAGTGATAAACATTTAAGAACACAGCAGTAATAACTAGGAGCAGTTTATGATAAAGACTGATTGCATTAGCTAAAAAATTATGTTTAATAGTTTTTTTCTGATTAAAAGTTGCAGAATGAGCCCATGGTGCATCCAAAGTTAGACAGTCTAACCAAGTCTCTTACAGAACAGCTTGCTAGAGTGATAATGTTGGTAAATATTTGTGATGTTCACAGAATCTCTTTTTTTTTTAATTAATCACAGACTTTACACTAGGCTATAACTATTGGTAATATTATTGCTGATTAAAAATAAATCAGGTTTTGTGCTATGTTATTTGCTTTAAGACAAAATTAGACTGTTAAAACATAACAAAAGGAACTTTACCTTTTTCTTAAAAAAATAGTATGCTTTTATAGTGATATTAATAAAAATAAGCAAGGCAATCATAGAATGTATTTTAGCTCAGGTGACTAGATTATACCAGAGACATTAAGTTTGTGGATAAATGGTTAACATTAATATTTTACAGACTTTTGATCCCTGGTTAAGGCGATGTGTTCCCATATAACAGAGTCCCACTCATGCTGAAAGCTGAGTGTGACATTACATGGCTCATGGATACCAAGCACAGGTCATGAAATCACTGCAAAACAAGTTACTACCTGTGAAGTAAAAATTGAGTGATATTGCTATTTAAATAGCAATATCAATTTCCTGAAAACATCAGTTTGTCAAAGTATCATTTATTTTAGAGATACAGCAATCCAGGGTATAACCATACTGAAATTCAGCTCAACAAAAAATGCTATGTTGGTATTTGCTAACTTTAGTAACTTAAATAGCTTTGCAAATATAAATGGGGTTAATCATTCATGGTAATCTGCCTCTACGTCACCTGGAACAGGCAGCACAACACCTTCACAAATATTCTTATGCTGAGCTAGATTTACATAGCAATGCAACACAACAGAATGCAGTTATAAAGCAATGGTGTGTAAAGTTTATGTATGATCCCCTGAAGGAATCATTGATCAAGAGGGATACAAATTCTTCTTCTATGGGGTACATCTGCTTTTTAACGCTTTTTTTTTTATGCTCCTCAAAAATTTCCTGGACATTTTGTACCTGCCTTTCAGAAGGCTGGGTTTTAGTTTCAAAGAATATCAGAACAGCATTGTACTTGCTTTAGCTCCCACAGAAATCTCTGAGAGTGTTGCCATTGACTTATATAAGAGCAGGGTTGGCAGTCCTGACCATACTCACATGTGCCTGTTCAAGTGTTGCCTAATCTGCTAAAGCTCTAGGAAGGTAGCACAGTAATAATTTTACTTCTCTGAAAGATTTTGTAGAAATCTGCTCTTCCGCCTCTGGGGAGTCCTTGCAATTTTAAGATTGGTGGCACAGTAGATTCACCACATTCCAGAACGTTACTGAATTACTTACATCCCATAAGACCTTGCTGTTTGCAGCAAAAAAAGATACCTAGAAATGGGAGAACTTCAGGGTAATTTGCCTCTGCACTGCCTTTGAATCTGTCTACCTGAGAGTCTACTACTTCCCATGTGACAATGGCACATTGAATTAATCTGAATCAACAGTTCCTACTTCTTTATTAGGAGGTTTAATTTTTAGGACAGATTTTAATCAAGGTTCCTTACTTCATCTTGCTTTCCCAGATGCTCTAACTGATCTGGAAGTTAATATTTAGCCTCCAATTGAACTCTCATCTCTTTAAGCACCTAACAGGTTAAGAGCTCCATGCCACAAGCTCTTGAACAGGGACTGGTTAACGTACCCTAGGGTCAACTTCCTGAACTTGTGGTCTGAGCAGCTGAGACAATCTCCCCTTCCACCCTTCTAAAGAAGAGAATTGCATCTCCCTAAGAGCTACTCATACCTGTTTTCAAGCATCCTGTCAAAACTACTGTTTTTGATACTGGTACGTGGGGCATATGGTGAGGTAGGGTTCCTGCTTATATCTTACCAGGGATCTGGGGGAGATCCAACTACAAGAGCCATTGCAGAAGAGGCATGAAGTTGATATCACTTCCAAGGTTATGTATTCTATTTTGAGCAGCCAGCAGAATAGTTCTGGATAATAGCTTGTGATACCTTCTGTTACTACAGCAGCAGTGAAGCAACTGGAGTAGACTCAGACACCCTTAGATTAAAAGAGCTGCTGCTTATGTAAGCATGAGCACTGCAGCACCCACTAGTGGACACAGTTTCTCTGGCACTGAGCCACAGCAGTGTATAAAGGGGCTGAAATCCCACTAGTGGGGATGCATAAAGGCCCTTGAAGAAGAATAACCACATTTTTTAAATCTCTGGGTCATACATTTGAAGCAGTTTGACTGCTTTACAATGGCTCAAAGCTTTCTCTTTTATTTGAACCATATTATCTAAAAAAAGAAGTTTGCTTCCATATTAGAATTAGCTTTTTCAGTAAAAATTTTCACATATAGCAAGCATTGAAATCTGTGCATGTTTTGCAAATGAACTTCACCGACAGTTCAAGCAGCCTTTGAATGCACTAGGAAACAAACTATAATTTAATACTTACTATATTAAGACCCAAATAAATGAAAAGTTAAATTAAAAGTGCCTCAACATATAGCTGAACATTTAAAAAAGTAAAGGGATTGGGGATTAATTGTGATCCACTAAACTACAACAGGGCATCAAATTTACTCAGCAAGAAGAGATTTGGGTGGTGGTTTCTAACAGTGTGGTGCAACAAATTAGGAATAGAAGCAACCATCTTTCTTTTCTTATACATTAAGGGAGTGGAATTGAAAACAAGCAGGGACGGAAAGGATGAATATGGGACTTAATTTTTATTAGCTCAATGATGCTTAAACTGCAGCCCCTAAGGCACAGGTGGCTCTTTCACCTACCATCTGCATCTCTCCACAGAAAATTGGGGGCATGCATTGGGGACATCTGAAAACATCAAAAATATATACATAAGTTTAGTAAACATACATTTAGTTTAGTAGAATGACATTTACTGTTTTAAAGACTCTGACCTTAATGGACTGCGTGAATATTAGTTTGTTTCCCCTTTTACTGCATTTGTCATAGCTTCCCTGGGAGAGTCTATGCTATTATGGCTTTCTGGTTGGCACTGACTGCCTATGTGTCTCCCAAACTAATCAGAACTTTGAGTTGCTGTGCTGCCTACTTTCTATTACATGCCTCTGGCAGTTGACATTGATCAGTGGTTATGCAAACTTACTGCAAAATATGTTACAAATGCACTGGTATGTCCTGACATTTTAAATACAAACACAGCGACTTGGAGGTGGGCATGGAAAGCACGCTGTCAAAATTTGCTGATGACACAAAGATGTGGGGAGACATGGGCACGCTGCGGGGGAGGGACAGAATCCAACTAGATCTAGACAGGTTGCAGAGGTGGGCAGATCAGAATAGAGTGGAATTCAACGCAGACAAGTGCAAGGTGCTGCATCTAGTGAAAAGGAACCTGCAACACACCTATAGGCTGGGGAACTCCCTTCTCAACAACACAGTGCCTGAAAGGGATCTTGGAGTCATTGTTGACTCCAGGATGGACATGAGCTGCCAATGTGAGGAAGCGGTCAGTAAGGCTAACTACACCTTGTGATGCATCTGTAGATGCACAACAAAGAGATCCAGGGAGGTGATCCTTCCCGTCTATACGGTGCTGGTCAGGCCACAGTTGGAGTACTGCGTCCAGTTCTGGGTGCCACACTTCAAGAGGGATGTGGCTAACCTTGAGAGGGTCCAGAGGAGGGCCACTTGCATGGTCAGGGGGCAGCAGACCAGGCCCTACAAAGACAGACGGAACAACGGCCACAAATTGATTGAGAGTAGGTTCAGGCTTGATATCAGGAGGCATTAGTTTATGGTTAGGGCTGCCAGCCTCTGGAATGGGCTCCCAAGGGAGGTGGTGCTCTCCCCTACCCTGGGGGTCTTCAAGGGGAGGTTGGATAGATATCTGGCTGGGGTATTATGATCCCAGCACTCGTTCCTGCCCAGGGCAGGGGGTCAGACTTGATGATCTGTTCAGGTCCTTTCCAACCCTAGAAACTATGAAACAGATTTTGAACTAGCTACCAGCCAGGTCCTACCCTTATCAAGAATCCCCAGATTAATGCAAATCCTAAAAGCAGAAATCCACAGTACACCAATACTTAGCAAAAGTCAAACATCTTAGTAGTAGATGTGGTTAGAAAATTGAGAGGAATTCCTACACTATTAAATAGGTCTGTAACAAAGTGGGGGAGCTTTCTTTCAACCAAGCAGAAGATATTGGGCACTAGATTTATGGTCTGAAATCAGTCAACTTATTAGTGCTTGAAAAGCATTGCTAGTCCTGAAAACCTTGCACTAGTCCACCAATAAAGCATACTCATAACGACCTTTTCACTAGACATTTGAAGACTGGAAAATACATTATGAAGTAGAGGTGCACCGATACATTGGTCTAATATTGGATTGGCTCTGATATAAAGAAAATTGTCTATCAGCCTGAAGTGGCTGATTTGTTGGCCAATAAATGGCCCATGCATTGTGCAGTAGGGCTGTGCGAGGCTTTGGACCGCGCTTTGGATCCAGAGAAGCTTTGGACATTTCAGCATCCGAAGCAGCATGTCCGGATCAAAATGCTGGCTTCTTTAGGCTTTCCAAAGCTGTTCGGAGCCTCCAAACCACTTCAGAGCCACTTTGGAGATCCAGCCATAGGGTATAATGGGAATCAATTAAATATCTATAACTTTGGGGTTTTTTTTTTTACTGATTTGGATGAAACTTCCAGGGGTCGTGGCCCCTGCTGAGGCCACAAAGCCTGCCAAGTTTCAAGAAGATAAGTGCAAGGGTTTGGGGGGAACTGCATCCCAGATTCCTAAAAGCAAAACTTATGTCACCTATATGTTACACCACAGGGGAGTGAAAACTGCAGGAGTTGTCACCCCTGCTTCGGCCACGAAGCCTGCCAGCTGTCGAGGAAATAGGTGCAAGGCTTCTGGGTTCTGGGGCCCTGCACCTCTAGCAGCTGGCAGGCAAAACTCATTACATGGACGCTTCTGCAACTGTGTCTGTCTTATGCATGCAGCACATTCTCAAGGGAGTGGAAAAAGCAGAATGGTACCTAGTATGTTGTATTAAAAGCAGGATCCAATATTTGGCTAATAGATGGAAAACTTCTCTCTCACAGGATAGCTCTGAAATACCAGTTTTCAATAGCACAAAGTAATAATTTATTTTCTTAATTGTGATAATAAGTTAGTATATATAACAATCCTTCACTGATCCTTCAGTCTAGCAGGATTTTTTTTGGCACTGAATCCAGGAATGTATATGGTAAATCCAGAAAAATTAAATCCGAAATAATTTTCAGTCTTTAAATAAAAGACCATTCATCTGTTGCTACGGTTGCTGCTGCTAAATTACCACACTTGCAAGTCTTATCCTAGAAAACACAGAAGGTATGTTTTAATCTAAAACTGTGTCTTCTGAGTAATCACAAATTCTAGAACCACTTTGATATGCAACATTAGTAATACATTCAATTTCCTTTAGCAAATCCTTGCTTTAAATTAATAATTCATGCACAATTTAGCATGACATTTAGGGACAGATCCAATTCCACCTGTTACTTGTCTAAGCAAGTGCTTAAATACATTACAATCCTAGTCCACCCTGCTGAAGTCCCAGAAAAAAAAAATATTCAAGCATAATTCTGTAACACACTGTGGCAAAGTGGGGTCCCACAGGGCTAGTTTCCCCACCTGCCTTTGGGCATGCTGCCCACCTGTCTTTCCTGCCATGCCTTATTGTTACTTGAGGTGTTACATAAGATGGGAGGCTGCCCATTCTTACCTTGATGCCAGGGAGGCGCTATCTGAGGCTCCGTTCCTTCCCTACATTGCAGCCAAAAGCCTCACAGATGGCATCTACAGATGTTAACATCACCGGCCCCACACTGGGCCCCAGAATCCTCCAATCCAGATTCCTCCAATCAGGTGGCCTACTCCACCCTCATTAAGGGATGCCTAGCTCCCTGAACTCTTTCCCCTCTAGGGCATGGTTCCCCCAAGACCTTTGGCCATGCAGGCCCTGGCCTCACCTCCAAGGCCAGTTGGAAATCCCAGGTCCTCAGCTCTAGGCCTCCCTCATAGTGGCGCCCTGTCCCTTTTGACCGTTCTGGTCCTGGCCCCAGCATTGACCAGTCGAGTGTACTTTAAGTCAGGCTTCTGAGTCTATAGCCCACTCTCTAACTTGGGTCTGCCTTCTTAACACTATTATCAGGTGACCCACCCAGTTGTGGGAGCTGGGGTTATTAAGGCACCCCAACCCACCTTTCACCAGGGTGGTAACTGGTCTGGTATTTCTTGGAGGCCCACACCACTGGGAGCCCCACCAGGCCACCCACTCCTGGCAGGGAACAATTTTAGGTAATACCCAGGACCAGAATCCTCCAATCCATCCCCATAAGCTCCTGCCCTTACCTCCAGAATGTTGCATACCACCTGGCCTGCCAGCAACAAGCTGCTCTGTTTACCCAGGCAGCCAGGGATCTAAAATGGCCACTGCAATCAAGCACCTCCTGGCTGCTTAGCTCAGATCGTTAAAGTGCAGCTCAGCCCTTAAAGTTGCAGGCACCAACAGTGCCCTGCCACACACATCATCGTCTCAGCCTTAAGGGTGAGTCACCAAAAACAGTGAAGAGAAGGACCCATCCCTGTTTTGCATTGTTTTTCAGGCACTGGAATAGGGTGGAATGGGATCACACTTAGATGGCAAAGTGGACATCGATATCTAAACGGTGGAATAGGATTTGCCCTTAATATCATGATTTGTTTAGCTGGATATACATTAAGGAATTAGTAATTTTGTTCTTTCCTAAAAAATATATTTTAGTATGAACAGTGAGAAAGTGTTTAACATTGCTCTCCGGACAACACAGCAGCATCTCCCATGATGGAATAAATACTTCAAACCTATTGATATACAAACTTATTGTAGTTAACAACAAAAGACAAGTGACAAGTGAAAACTGTATATTTTCTAAAACAATTGGGAGTGACATTCACTTCCGTGCAGAAAGTTGAGGCTACTAAAGGCGACAGGTAGATCAGATTCACTGGAGTTTCCATACGTCCTATGCACCGTAGCATGTTCATGTATGCTGCTACAAAAAGGGTAAATTATGGGATCCAATGGCCCCACCCTCTCACAGGAAACATGGTAGGGCAGAGAGTGGAGCTGCTATTTCAGATCAGATCAAAGTAGTTGCAATAACAGACTGTGTTGATGCTCTTTGGTCTGGGTTCTAGCCTGTAACCCTAGCCTACTGCCCTGTCTGTCTAAAAACACTGGTAAACCAAAAACTTGGATTTTGTTTAAATAACCATACACTTACGGTCTGCAATCAGAAAGGAGAAAAATTTCTTGCACTCTATTATTCCCAATGAAGTACTCGCACAAGTCATCCAGAGACCTTCAGAGAGCCAGTTTGTAAGAACAGCTTCTTTTGCAGTGCTGGAAATTTTCCATTTGTTGGACAGAGTAGTAACAACTAAAATGATGAACCCAGACAGAGCGAGAAGCAATGAAGAAATTTGTGAACATAATGATGCCATTCTTCAGTGAGAAGCTGGTTTTCAAAGTAGCCACCCAAAGATTCTGATATCAGAACCCTATTAAAAATAGATTACATATGAAATATATCAATCAATGTTTAAATTAGTTTCTTTTCTTGTTCCCTACATAAACAACCTAACACTGCAACTATCCACAAAATTGTTTAACAGTATAGTAGATGCTTAAAGTTTATCTTAGCCTCTAAAGAAATGTTCAAAACAATCCAAACATTTTAGCACATTTTTATAGAATGCTAATTTTCTGTATCTTTATAATATTTGCCATAAAACAAGCATTCCTATATTTGAATTTGCAATGTCATATTTCCACTTCTGTTTACAAACTGAAATTTATTTTAAAGCAATCAAATATGAGAATAAAAATAAGTGGATTAGTTTTACACCACCAGATTAAACTCTATAAAGCTGCAAATTTCAAACAAAATGAACACTAATACTTACGTTTACAGAAATGTTTTCTGTCTATTGCATTTGCCTTTCTGCTAGAAATAAATGTCAGCACTTTGTGAGGGTCAGTTTGATCAAACAAGAGTAAATGTTTTGTACTATATTAAGACCTTTCCCCCTTAAACTAAAAATCAAGGCTTCCCTGCCAAATCATTGGCTGGTGGTCAAGAGTTCAAACACAGTATTTCCTTCCAACTTAGCTTCAGTATAATGAACAAATTAAAGCAAATAAAAAGCAGTTGCAACAGTAGATAAGCAAAGAGCCAGAGGTTCTCAAACTACTCCAATGATCACTTGATGGCACTTTCGTAAGAGCTGGCTGGTCAAAAAATATCAGAGCCCCTTGGCTTTTGTTGTGGAAATTCAGACAGGATCACTGTTTGGCTAACAGAAGCGCTTTATTTTGAATGGCCACGGGAGAAAAAACAGGGGCAGCTAGTTCTCAACGAGAACAAAGCACAGACTACTTTATATACTGATAAATCACATACAGATCAACCGGCATCGTAACATACTCTTGGCAGTCTGACAGTGACTCATCCTGGTGTCTTGCTGAACCAAGTGTGCTTTCTCAAGCTGTTCCCTGATAAGCTTATCCTGAAGGCCGCCATGTTCTCATTCGGCCTTCAGCCGCATCCCCGCATCTTGTCCCGACAGTATACACTCCTTTCAGTACTTTTCCATTCCTCATCACTCTCAGCTTTTGAATTGTATTAAATTTATTGAATTTTTGTTCAGTATTTTCCTAATAACAGATTCTATGCAACAATATCTTTGGTCATCACAGGGATTTTATGCAAAGTTGAATAAGAAGGAAAATAGCTCATGGTTGCAGTTAAGAAAGAAAATCGTTCAAGACAGGTACACTTTTAAAATTTCCTCACAGCTTGAACCACTTTTTATAGAGTCCAAGTTAAATAATTCAGGCTCTAGCTCAGTTTTCCACTCAAATCCCATGGCCTAGAGTAACAGTTTAGTTACAAGAGCAGGTTCATTCTAAGTTTACATTTTTTTATATTGTACCATAAAGGTTCAGTTGCATATTTAAAAGGCAAACTTTTCCTTAATGCCTTTAATGCAGCAATCCATAAACATATATTTAGTGATCAACAAAGGAAATCTGTGATAGCCAAAACTTAAACAATGTAACAAGATCAACAGACTTTACACCAAACAGTCTGGTAACTCACAGGAATATGACATACAGGATGTGTCTATGTAGGACACAAGCTATGACAACAAACTACTGCACAGTAGGGTTGGAAATGGCCTGTGTGCCACCAGGACTGCAGAGAAACAGCAGTCACCGTGCAGTCATTTAGTGCTTACTCTAGCAAGTACTAAATGACTGCGCAGTAACAACTGTGCAGTCAGGCATACATGTAGACAGTCCCACTGGGTCAGACCAATGGTTCATCCAGACCAGTATCCTGTCTCCAAAAGCGGCAGGAGCAGATGTTTTAGCACAGGGCTGCTTAAACTTTATTGTCTGTGGAATCTGTCCCGCAGGCATCTCCTGAGGTTGGGGCAACCGGCAGCAGGGGACTCTGGTAGGGTGGCCATCATAGAGGACAGTCTGATTGTCCTCTCTCCTCTATTGATACAAAAACCAACGCCTTTATGTCCTCTTATTTTTCTCTTCAGGAGAAAAATAAGAGGACATAAAGGCATTGTGTTTTGTATCAAGAGAACAGAGCAGCAAGAAACCAGAATGTCCTCTAAGATGGCCGCCCCAGGCACCTGCAGTACTCCTACCCCTTCCTGTGGCCAAAATCCCAAGCCCTGCTAGGCCATGACCAAATCAGAGCCAAGCCATGCCCCCTTCCCTCCTTCTGGCCAGGATGGGGCTGGGTCACCTCACACCTCCTTCCTCCCCCGGGGCTGTGCCAAGCCCCCTCCCCCGTGCAGATGGTTGAGGGCCAGGCATCCCTTTGCCCCCACGGGGCTGGATTACGCTCAGGTCACAGCCCCTTCCCCCGTGACCCAGGCTGGGGCTGCCCCCGGCCCCCCTCCACCGCCAGCCGAGGCCTAGCGCTCTCGCGCCACTGCCTTAAGGGAAGAGCGCTGAACCAGCCACATCTCGAGTCACTATCGCTGTTCATTCCCTTCCCTTCGCCCCGGAAGCGCTCCCCTGCCCCACTCAACATGGTGGCTATGGGTGCCGCCGCCGCAGCCCCTCCTAAGATGGCGGGCGGGGCGGGGCGGGGCGGGGCGCGGGTGCCCCGGAAGCGCTGGGCGCCGGACGTGGGTGCCCCGGAAGCGCTGGGCGCAGCGGGGCGATGTGGTGGAGCTGCTGGGCGCGCGC